TCCCTGTGTTTTGAGGGAAACGCCACCGAGCGTCCTTACTCGATAATGGGGGCGAAAGGTGCCGAATTACCCACCCGGCCTTGGCGCGGGGATTTCTAAAGCGTCCGTCTGCGCGAACCACCATTTTGAGGGCGTCCGTGTCAAACACGTCCGGGCTAAACACGGAGCCATATATGAATAGGCCTACATTCTCACATTGTGTAATAGCCACTTGAAACTTGAAATATAAATGTACACTTTCAGATACCTATTTAATTTTTTAATTAATAACTCAAGTTGGTCTAGGCCTAGAAAAAAGGTTGACAAGTTGTATATTCTTGATGAGCCCGATAAACTTTTTTCAATATTGATTAAATGTGTACAACAAAAAATACGTTTGGCTACCTGTTTCTTTGATTATCAAATTTATTACCGGTACCAATAATTCATAATTTAAAAATCATATCCTAAATTTGTCATTTTCTTTCAGGTCAAATGAGCCTGCTTGAATCATGGTCAATTCTACTAAACACCTTGCAAAGAAACAAAAATACAAAAGACAAAGGCGATTAAATGCAGAGAGGGTTAGGAGGTATCGAGAGAAAATGACACAAGAGCAGTTCGAGAAAAAAAGAAGAAAAGATAGGGAAAGATACAAAAAAAGAAAAAAAAATTTATAATATTTTGATGAAATGAAATAAATTTGTTTATATTCTTATTATGGTTCTTTTATAAAATTTTACCTAACCCGCCATGTTAAACTTCCCTATCCCAAGCGTGATGTATACAACTTCCTTACTTCTCGAGTGATGTAAAGTATAAAAAACTCACTCGGTGATGTAAAGAAACCCATTTAAATAACATTGAGTGCATAACTTAAAAAATATACCTCTATGGAGCCAACGACATTCAACGCTAGAAATCAGCTGTGCGCTTGAATGTTATTGTTATGCTTTAAAGTATTTTCCTAACCTAGCTTTTGTTTGTAAAAGAACGTTACTGTTAGAAGATGAGTGAAATGGATAATGATGAAAAATATTGTACGTAAACCCATGTATATTGTCGGGTCAGGTAAAATCTTGTACGTTACACGTTACGCAAGAGCGTGTAAAACATCACTTAGGTGAATTATGCAACTCGCTTCCGCTCGTTGCACAACATTCACCTGCGTGATGTAAAAACGCTCTTACTACACTTGTAATGTAAATAGCTATTACCAAATTGAATAACTTGAATCTTAAAGTACAAGCATTTATGGAAGATTTTATGAACCTTGAAGAGGCATATCTTTAAATGTGTTAGGCCTATAATCACCATTTTGGTCTTAAATTGTGAGTAATTTAATTTAGTTTTAAAGTAATTATGGTTGTTTTAATAAAAAATAATGATAAAGTTATGCTTTAGGGTTGACGTTAGCCAAACTTAAAAAAGTTCAAAATTTGGTAATTTTAGCCGTTGTTTGCGGAGTCATATCTTGAAAACTATAAGGCCTGTAATAGCCATTTTGGTCTTAGATTATAGGTAATCTAATGTACTTTAAAAATGGTTATGGTTGTTCTTTATGAAAAAGTGATGCTTCAGGGTCAAAATCGGACAAACGTAAAAATAGTGCGAAATTTCACCGATTTTTAAGCTTTTTGGAGGTGATCCGGAAGGTCGCCGAGGTCGAAAATTTGGATTTAGCAACTAGGTACTATTACAAACAACATAAAAAAAAGAAACCTACTACCCCATTTCATGCAAGGTAGACCCTGATTTTTATAACAAGGTAACTGGGTTAAAATAAGTAATCCAAATGTTAATGTTGCATACTGGCTTAATGATAAATCTCGATCAGCTGTATTGAAGTAAACATAAATCAGCTGTAAATGCAAGGGCGGTCCTAGACATATATTTTGGGGGGGGGGTCACCGGGGCGCCTGGGGTTCCCCCCAGGGAAAAATTTGGAAATTAACGTGCTAAAATGAGTGGTTTTTAAGCTATTTTGAGGACTGGGTTTAATGTCTTCAAGCTTTTCAGTTTATTTAAAGGTCAAAGAAATTTCTAAAAATAAACTTGTATAATGTCATGATTTTACATTGTTGAGATTTTTGGTTTTAATATAAAAGGAAAACCGCAACATTACAACACATTCAAGCATTAATGATTTACGAAAAACCCCTTTCAACTTTCAACTGGTGCCGATGTGTATGCTAAACAGAAAATGTCCAAAATCAGACCAAGATTTCGAACCAGAGGACTTATTTTATCTAAGAAGTGTTTAAGAACTTGCACCCAACACGACTGCATTATACCTGCCCAGTAAACAACAGTTAACCTACACAAAGTACACGATCCAACAATTATGATAACGTTGCCGTCGGTGTCCCGTCACTGCTACCGCCTGAAGAATTGGTTCTTAGTGCTCTCATTTTTTTCTACGCCAGTGCCAGTGGCATTTTACAAGGGGTCAATGTGAGGATAAAGTTTTTGTGCAACGTTTTTGTGGTTGTGCGGGGAATTAAATCCGTCCATTCCGCATCTAAGTCTGAGACACTACCATTTTGTTGTTGTTTTGTGGTTAACAACATGCCAATTGGGTTGTGGTATTCTTAAATATGATATCAGGTGCTCTAAATATGAATACTATTTAATATTGAAAGTTTTGAAATTTACTACGGTAGGCCTAATCATTGAATTACATTACTCTAATTACAAATTCCTAACGCTGAACTCAGATAAATTAATATTCAACTACCTTTCAAGATTTGGACTATTGATACAACTTCTTTTCTTTATCCAATACTCAATTCAAGTTTTCAATCATCTTAGGTTAAAATGAATGATAACATTAAATGCCGAATAATTAAATAAGAAGAATGCGGCCGAACGTCGAACGTCAGTCAGCATCGGACACTGCCAATGTATAGGCTGAAAGCGTCCGTCGTATGCCAATCTTCTTTTCATAACGTACAAAAAAAAGTCAGACTCGAACGATCCCGAGTTTTAGGATAGAGTTTGTAATTAGTCCTTTTGTTCACCACAAGTGTAAGGACTACAATGAATTTCAATTTGGTAGATCGATTTACAATAAAAATTATTAAAGTTCCCCTGGTATAATAGTTTATGTATATAAACAATATTTGTGGGGGGTGGGGTCACGACCCCCCTGGGACCACTCTTGTGTAAATGGCTTTCAATGCTATGCTTATGGAGAACATTTTACGTTAGATCTAATTTTGTGTTACCGTAACATTTTGGGAATTCCACTATTTTTTCTGCCGTCGCGGGATAGAGACCTTTAATTTGAGCCCCCTTCTGTCGTTCTACGACTTCCCAGGCACAATTTTGACACAAAGAATCGTCTTAGGCTAGTTAAATATATAGATATACAGTAGAACCTCACTAATTTGAACCTCAATAATTCTAAAACCTCTATAATTAGTATAGTTTTTCTGTTCCCCTCAGAAAACCTCCAAAATTAAAAAAATAATACATACACCAATAATTTTAAGTGATTTTTATGCTTAATGCAGCCTCTACAATACAAATTTGCACATACTCGAGCCTCTACCATTCGAATTTCCACATACTTGAGCCTCTATAATTCGAATATTGTTGCCGTAATTCAAACTGTAACCTCCAAAATTCTAAATCAGCCTCTACAATTCGAACTACATTTACCTTAAGCCTCTGTAATTTGTATTCACAAAAAAATATGCCTGTTGAAACATGATCTGACGCTCACTTATTGATGTTCCCACGATGGGTTAATTAGTCACCGTTCTCTCAAACTCTTTAAACTTAAAACTGGGACCTCCATTAATTGAATTTTATTTATTCTAACCTCTATAAATCAAACCCTATATTTCAAACTTCTCATAATTTGAAATATATTGTCTTTCCTCTGAAAGTATAATTAGCAAGGTTCTACTGTCCGGTACCATTTTAAAAAGTTGTTTACCCTACTAGTGCATGCTGGCCCTTTTTTAAGGTAGTTTTGATGATCCGGATAGTTTGATAATCTGAATAGGGTCCGGTCCTAATTAATCCGGATTATTGACATTCTACTGTGTACAGGCAATGAAGTACCTAATGAAGACGGACTAAGTCTTCATGTGTTCTAGAATACACCTGGTCGACTCAAATAACTCAATGAGTAGCATTGATGAAGGTTTAAAAATTCTACATGTCTGTGGGAAAGGTAGCAAACTTGACACCTTGGAGGAGTTCGAGATTTATAAAATTTATGATGACGAACAGTGTAAGGACCACATCCTTAACGAAAAATTACAGTTCCAGTCTCACTCGATTTTTAATACAATATTAAACTCAGGAAATACAATTACTCAGCTAATACAATTAGCTGCTTCCAAACAAAACAGCTGTTACAACACCACTTGCGACGTTGCCACTTCGAAGGCCGCAGCCTGGAGTTAAAGGCGGCCGTGCTAGAGGGGAGGTGGAGGGAGAATCATTTCCCCCCACTCAGTAGCGCTATTGACTTTATATCTACACTGTGTAGATATAAAGTCAATGGGAGCGCTTAGGGACAACATCGCGATGATACAGCGAAGGTTTAGACTCCAGTCGCGAACACAGCCGTTTCCATTCCAGACAGACGACAACAGCAGAAGCGTTTGGCACGGCGGCGTGGTGGTGGGGTAAGGCGCGGCGGTGGGTGGTGTTATTATCAGGAGAGCTTCGTCTTTGTGACATTTGCAAAGGCAGACGAAAACAGTTGTGAATTGGCGTAGTTAATATACTACGACACTGTCAAAGACAGTGCAGATGATCTGAAGTAATCTTGGAAAGCTGGAATATGGGAAACGTGCCATCACTATGACGTCATGGAGCGTCCTGTGAGTCTTGCGGGAACTCGACCCCCACAGAATACTGTATTGACCCATTGACCACTTGACCATCATGATCTGATCACACAGCTCACAGCTGTTGATGACAAGTAGTGAAATGGAAGTGCAATACTTTCTGTGTCTGTCCACTGAGCTATACAGTGTGTGTGTCTGTCTAGGCTAGTCTAGTCTAGTGTCTGTACTCTGTAGTTAGTAGTAGGGTAGTGGACCAGTGGACGTGATTGTGAATTGTTACCAGTCTGCTAAAGTATTAATTTATCAGTATTAAATAAAATTTAGTTATGCTTAGCCTAGGTTTTATAAAGTTTTCAGTCACGCATGGTAAATAAGTATCAGTTTGATCATCTTATAAAGTTCAAATGTAAGTACAATTCTGTAACAAGTCTATGTCAAACCTTAAATGTCGTCTGTTAAAATTTGCAAAATTTGATGTTGCTTTTCGTTTTGACTTAGCAAATTACCAAACAATTCTTAATTAAGTATGCCCTTTTCACTTACGTTGGCTAACTTATTTGAAGTTAAGTTGTAACTTGTAAACTTAAATTTTTCTTCGGTAGGCCTAAATTGTTTGGTGTCAAACAAATTGGGTAGGCCCTATGAACCTTTCTTGCATAGCCTTGAGTTAGAATAGGTAGAATGTGGTTAAAAAATGTTGTAAACTACTATGCTATCATTTAGACTAGGCATATATTAAATTAATTTCAATCAACAGTTGGTTCTTTTAGCCTAAAAATATCCTCATACTCAATAATCTAGCCTACCCCATATGGGAAAGGTCCCACCTAGCATTTAATCTATGTCATGGTTTAACTTATTTATCATTGCCTCCAGGTTTGGTTTTGACACTATAAATAGGTTTATATAGGTAACTTAGGCTACGTCATATATCCTAAAATATTTTAGGGCAACCAGCCTAACTTAAGTTTTGAAACAACAGTTTCTTCGTCCCAAGCCTGTTGCTTCTTAAAATTATTGGAGCATCTTGTCATCGTTAAAACACAAGAATACGTTTAAGTTACTCAACATACACGAAAACGGTCATAAATTATTAACAAAAACAAATGCACAGCCGGCCATAACACGCACGGTGTCAGACACGATGCACAAGGGTATTTATAAATTTTAATTTGTCGTCATCACCTTCCAGTAAGCAAGTTATGAGAGTTTAGAATATAAACAATTTTTGTGTTTTTTGAATCAGATGACTTTTAATGATTGTGCAAATGACTCGAAATACGTGTACAACACAGGCCAAATTGCCTTTACCCTTGCTCAATACCAAATTTCGAATCTCAGTTGTTAAACTTAAACTTGTGTCAAAAAGTGTTAGTTTAGGCCATATTGATAGAATATAGTATTTTCATAATCCAAAATAGCCACTTAGGACTGAAAAATATTACTTTTGTAAAAAAATGTTAGTTTAGGCCATAGTGATGAAATATACTGTACAGTAGACTCCCTCTTATCCGAACTCCTCGGGACCGAGGCCAGTCCGGATAACGTTTTTCCGGTTAAACCGACATCCCCAAAAACTTGTTAAAACAGACCACATGCTTACTGTATACAGTATTTGACTTAAATTTAGGAGAGCATTGTATTGGTCTCAAATCTTTCCCACGAGAACAATCATTTCAGTACCACCCGCTTCCTGCCGATCTAGTCCGGTTTTAAAAACTGATGTCCGGTTAAAAGGTGTCCAGATAAGAGGGAGTATACTGTATTCATTATCTAAAAATAGCCTCCCAGGACTGAAAAAAATATTATTTCCTCAATAAACATTGTAAAAACCTTTTTCCACTAATAATCTTGATATCACAATAATTCCTGTAATATAATCAGGATTATTTGTTTGTTAGGTTATGGCAGGAAACATTCCACCACTAGTTTCCTCCACTCCACCTCCTTTGAATGCCTTTGATGATGAAGAGGAGGAGGAAGAGGATGATTTTGGACTTTACAACACTGCAGAGGAAATAGACTATAATGGTTAGTATTGTGACATTGTAGAAGTTGGGTGACGTCTCCATCAATGCATATAGTCTAACTGGAGATCACGCCCTGGCACGAGAATACGGCATTGAAAACAAGCCGCCACCGCGCCCCGGGAGTTATTCAACCCTGCACCAACCTTTATATGTTATAAAAAAACACGTGACCCGGGCACTGGTCCTTTCACTCGCTATCATGACAGTATGACAACCCTGCACCAGCCACCCCGCTTACTCATTCCACCTACACTACTCCCTTCAACCAATCCTTTCTCTTTTCTCTTAATCATATCCCCTTTCTGTAAGGTGCTGTGGGTTCGCACTGTCCATGTCCTCCAGATACCTCCCTTAAAATAATTGGGCACCGAGATTTTACTAAACAAACATATGCAAAAATGGCAGGAGCTTTGTAAAATGAAGACGTAACTTCTCTTGCTGCAGATTTTAAGAAATTAGGGGACGAGCTTCAATAGAAGATAGGATAGGCAATAATAGAAGCTGTGGCCGTTTTTAGTACGAGAATAAATCTTAAACCTTTATTTAAAAATAGGTTTGCTGTGATTTATATTTTGTTATTCCTCGATGTTCTGAATAGACATGATGTATTCCTGCATTTTGTTATTCCTCGATGTTCTGAATAGACATGATGTATTGCTGCATTTTGTTATTCCTCGATGTTCTGAATAGACATGATGTATTTCTTGTCCGTTTCCTTGTTTTGTTGTGTTTCCTTGGCGGGGACAGACTTTTTAATCCAGTTTGATATCCAGAGGAACTGGGAATCCGGAGGTAATGGGTAAAGAAAATGGGAGATAACTGTGCTGTCTTGTTATTCAGAACAAACATTGTACAGCATTTGTGATACGACAAATACTCTAACAACCTCATAATATATATAAAAAAAATAATAGAACACATTTTACAAGATTGAGTTTTTCAAAATTCATGTTTTCGGCCCCTGGACTATATTGTTAAGACAATAATAGGGTTTTTACATACCTCAGTCAAATAGTACAATAAATGATATAGCACAACAGCTTACATGTTTCGTTGCGAAGACAACACAGAAAACATTAATACGGTACGAATACACGATAGACATTTAGATAGCGCTATCATAATACTGATTTGGTGCGGCGCGGGGTTGGTAGCAGACTGGAGGTCTTCGTCACGTCGTCTCCTCTACTGTTATCAGATCTTCGATCAGCTGTTCCTGAGTTTAATATTGTATTAAAAATCGAGTGAGACTGGAACTGTAATTTTTCGTTAAGGATGTGGTCCTTACACTGTTCGTCATTATAAATTTTATAAATCTCAAACTCCTCCAAGGTGTCAAGTTTGCTACCTTTCCCACAGACATGTAGAATTTTTAAACCTTCATCAATGCTACTCACTCATTGAGTGATTTGAGTCGACCAGGTGTATTCTAGAACACATGAAGACTTAGTCCGTCTTCATTAGGTACTTCATTGCCTGTACACAGTAGAATGTCAATAATCCGGATTAATTAGGACCGGACCCTATTCAGATTATCAAACTATCCGGATCATCAAAACTACCTTAAAAAAGGGCCAGCATGCACTAGTAGGGTAAACAACTTTTTAAAATGGTACCGGACAGTAGAACCTTGCTAATTATACTTTCAGAGGAAAGACAATATATTTCAAATTATGAGAAGTTTGAAATATAGGGTTTGATTTATAGAGGTTAGAATAAATAAAATTCAATTAATGGAGGTCCCAGTTTTAAGTTTAAAGAGTTTGAGAGAACGGTGACTAATTAACCCATCGTGGGAACATCAATAAGTGAGCGTCAGATCATGTTTCAACAGGCATATTTTTTTGTGAATACAAATTACAGAGGCTTAAGGTAAATGTAGTTCGAATTGTAGAGGCTGATTTAGAATTTTGGAGGTTACAGTTTGAATTACGGCAACAATATTCGAATTATAGAGGCTCAAGTATGTGGAAATTCAAATGGTAGAGGCTCGAGTATGTGCAAATTTGTATTGTAGAGGCTGCATTAAGCATAAAAATCACTTAAAATTATTGGTATATGTATTATTTTTTTAATTTTGGAGGTTTTCTGAGGGGAACAGAAAAACTATACTAATTATAGAGGTTTTAGAATTATTGAGGTTCAAATTAGTGAGGTTCTACTGTATATCTATATATTTAACTAGCCTAAGACGATTCTTTGTGTCAAAATTGTGCCTGGGAAGTCGTAGAACGACAGAAGGGGGCTCAAATTAAAGGTCTCTATCCCGCGACGGCAGAAAAAATAGTGGAATTCCCAAAATGTTACGGTAACACAAAATTAGATCTAACGTAAAATGTTCTCCATAAGCATAGCATTGAAAGCCATTTACACAAGAGTGGTCCCAGGGGGGTCGTGACCCCACCCCCCACAAATATTGTTTATATACATAAACTATTATACCAGGGGAACTTTAATAATTTTTATTGTAAATCGATCTACCAAATTGAAATTCATTGTAGTCCTTACACTTGTGGTGAACAAAAGGACTAATTACAAACTCTATCCTAAAACTCGGGATCGTTCGAGTCTGACTTTTTTTTGTACGTTATGAAAAGAAGATTGGCATACGACGGACGCTTTCAGCCTATACATTGGCAGTGTCCGATGCTGACTGACGTTCGACGTTCGGCCGCATTCTTCTTATTTAATTATTCGGCATTTAATGTTATCATTCATTTTAACCTAAGATGATTGAAAACTTGAATTGAGTATTGGATAAAGAAAAGAAGTTGTATCAATAGTCCAAAAGCTTGAAAGGTAGTTGAATATTAATTTATCTGAGTTCAGCGTTAGGAATTTGTAATTAGAGTAATGTAATTCAATGATTAGGCCTACCGTAGTAAATTTCAAAACTTTCAATATTAAATAGTATTCATATTTAGAGCACCTGATATCATATTTAAGAATACCACAACCCAATTGGCATGTTGTTAACCACAAAACAACAACAAAATGGTAGTGTCTCAGACTTAGATGTGGAATTAACGAATTTTAATTCCCCGCACAACCACAAAAACGTTGCACAAAAACTTTATTCTCACATTGACCCCTTGTAAAATGCCACTGGCACTGGCGTAGAAAAAAATGAGAGCACTAAGAACCAATTCTTCAGGCGGTAGCAGTGACGGGACGCCGACGGCAACGTTATCATAATTGTTGGATAGTGACCTTTGTGTAGGTTAACTGTTGTTTACTGGGCAGGTATAATGCAGTCGTGTTGGGTGCAAGTTCTTAAACACTTCTTAGATAAAATAAGTCCTCTGGTTCGAAATCTTGGTCTGATTTTGGACATTTTCTGTTTAGCATACACATCGGCACCAGTTGAAAGTTGAAAGGGTTTTTTCGTAAATCATTAATGCTTGAATTTGTTGTAATGTTGCGGTTTTCCTTTTATATTAAAACCAAAAATCTCAACAATGTAAAAACATGACATTATACAAGTTTATTTTTAGAAATTTCTTTGACCTTTAAATAAATTGAAAAGCTTGAAGACATTAAACCAAGTCCTCAAAATAGCTTACAAACCACTCATTTTAGCACGTTATTTCCAAACTTTTCCCTGGGGGGAACCCCAGGCGCCCCGGTAACCCCCCCCCCCAAAATATATGTCTAGGACCGCCCTTGCATTTACAGCTGATTTATGTTTACTTCAATACAGCTGATCGAGATTTATCATTAAGCCAGTATGCAACATTAACATTTGGATTACTTATTTTAACCCAGTTACCTTGTTATAAAAATCAGGGTCTACCTTGCATGAATTGGGGTAGTAGGTTTCTTTTTTTTATGTTGTTTGTAATAGTACCTAGTTGCTAAATCCAAATTTTCGACCTCGGCAACCTTCCGGATCACCTCCAAAAAGCTTAAAAATTGGCGGAATTTCACACTATTTTTACGTTTGTCCGATTTTGACCCTGAAGCATCACTTTTTCATAAAGAACAACCATAACCATTTTTAAAGTACATTAGATTACCTATAATCTAAGACCAAAATGGCTATTACAGGCCTTATAGTTTTCAAGATATGACTCCGCAAACAACGGCTAAAATTACCAAATTTTGAATTTTTTTAAGTTTGGCTAACGTTAACCCTAAAGCATAACTTTATCATTATTTTTCATTAAAACAACCATAATTACTTTAAAACTAAATTAAATTACTCACAATTTAAGACCAAAATGGTGATTATAGGCCTAACACATTTAAAGATATGCCTCTTCAAGGTTCATAAAATCTTCCATAAATGTTTGTACTTTAAGATTCAAGTTATTCAATTTGGTAAAATTTTATAAAAGAACCATAATAAGAATATAAACAAATTTATTTCATTTCATCAAAATATTATAAGTTTTTTTTCCCTTTTTTTTTGTATCTTTCCCTATCTTTTCTTCTTTTTTCCTCGAACTGCTCTTGTGTCATTTTCTCTCGATACCTCCTAACCCTCTCTGCATTTAATCGCCTTTGTCTTTTGTATTTTTGTTTCTTTGCAAGGTGTTTAGTAGAATTGACCATGATTTCAAGCAGGCTCATTTGACCTGAAAGAGAATGACAAATTTACGATATGATTTTTAAATTATGAATTATTGGTAATAAATTTGATAATCAAAGAAACAGGTAGCCAAACGTATTTTTTGTTGTACACATTTAATCAATATTGAAAAAAGTTTATCGGGCTCATCAAGAATATACAACTTGTCAACCTTTTTTCTAGGCCTAGACCAACTTGAGTTATTAATTAAAAAAATAAATAGGTATCTGAAAGTGTACATTTATATTTCAAGTTTCAAGTGGCTATTACACAATGTGGGAATGTAGGCCTATTCATATATTTGCTTCCCCAAATTATTTTTTTATTGCATAAATAGACTCAACAAAAATTATCAATCATAAAGTATATAATAGATAGCCTAGATAAATATAAAACAGACACAAAACTGTCCTTTGTAACACTAACTTATA